TGAGGGCCAGTGACACTGCCCTCTATAGCTAAGATGCTGAACAACAGCTCAACCTGGAGCTGGGCTGCCGTGAGTCCCCGGCGACGGCGTAGGCTTGCAGCCCCTGTGGCAGTGGGTTGCCATGGGCTACCGTGTGTAGCCAGCAGCCAGCGTGAGCCGCTGTCCAGAAGACAGCAACTTGTCTGTTCCCCTTCCCCCAACTCCCCAGCACTGTTCCCATCCCCCCAATTCCCCAATAAAAATCTTTAAAAAAAGAAAAGAAAATGTCAAGGAAATAAAGAAGACAGGAGAGAGAAATGATGATGATGATAATGATGATAAAGATAGAACTGGTAGTCACCCCTATGTGCTGTGTCCCATTCTAAGCACCCTACATTTAATCCTCCCCACAACCCTATGGAGTATGTGCCATTACTACCCCTATTTTACAGACGAAGAAACTGAGGCTCAAAGAGGTTAGGTAAGTGGCCTCTGGTCACACATCTAGAAGTTTGGAGCCAGGTAGAAGAAGGTAAAAAAGAAGGAGGGGGAGATGTTTATGGTGTCGACATATATTCAGCTTCATTTCTGAAAAGAGGTTCTGCTGTCTGACCTGTCAGTGAGTCAGTCAAAGTTTCTATCAAGTACTCTGTGCCAGGCTCTGTTCTAGGCGTCGAAGTGACAGTGGACAAGGCAGAGTTCCTGCCTTCCAGGAGCTTACATTCAAGGGGGGATTCAGGAGTTTCAAAGGCAGCTGGCTGCTGCCCCAGCAACTCTTTTCCTCCAGGATTCTGGGGTGCTCTGGCCTCCCCTGGGCTTCGGGCTGGGCACCCTGGCAGCTCTGGCATGCACATTCCTTGATTTCTCTGGGCCTGGGAGGGACTGAGATGCTTAGTCCTAGTCAGGGACCCTTGGGCAGACCTCCTTGTCCCTCTGGGCCCTGCCTGCCGCTCTGCTCCTTGACCTGACCCCCTCTCCTTCCTACAGGTCAGCCAGGATGGCAAGGCGCTGCTGGATGTGCTGCAGCGCCCCCTGAGTCCTGGCAACTCGGAGTCCCTCACAGCCACGGCCAACTACTCCAAGGCCGTGCACCAGGTACTGGACGTGGTGCACGAGGTGCTGCACCACCAGCGGCGACTCGAGAGCATCTGGCAGCACCGCAAGGTGCGGCTCCACCAGCGGCTGCAGCTCTGCGTCTTCCAGCAGGACGTCCAGCAGGTAACAGGCCCCCGCATCCAGCATCCGTCCCAGGCAGGCTAATGGCTAAGTCCCTGACTTAGGTGCTCAGGACTGGGAACATCTGATTGATGGAGGGATAGAGGGCAGTTTCACCCCTAGCTAAAAATGCTGTCTGGACTTGTTAAATTCATGCTTCTCGCCCGAGCCAACTGGGCCTTCTCACCGTGTGGTGCTGAGAAGGGACACTCCGTCTGAGGAATAGCAATTCCTTGCAGTCATGTGACATAGTTTTCTATGGGAGAGCTTGAGTATCGCTTATCATGAGCTATCTGGACAGCTCAGGGGCCTGGGAGGTTATCTGAGTGCTGTCAGGGTTGGACCCCACATGAAATGAGCTCACTTCTTAGCCAGGGATGCAGGTTTCCTGCTAGAGTGGGAGTTTGGGGTGGGATACGGGGCCTTTAGGGGGTCCTTTGGCAAGATTGGACTTGGAAAACCAGGTTTATTTTTATTTTTTATTTTATTTTATTTTATTATTTTTTTTTATTGTTAGTTTCATGTGTACAGAACAATGCAATAGTTATCCTTTTCACCCTTCACACAGAAACAACCCCCATCCCCCATCTACTGCCTTCCCACCCCCGATAGCATACTTATCTATTGCAATTCCATTGACTCCATTTCCACACTCTACTCCACATCCCGTGATTATATGTATATATAATTATAGTTGACATACGCTATTATTCAACATCAGCTTCAGAAATACAGTGGGGTGGTCAGGCCTCTACACCGACTATGAAGTGGTCTCCCTAACAAGACATGAGTCCATCTGGCCCCCTAAAGAATATTTACAACATTATTGATTATATTTCCCAGACTGTCTTTTCTATCCCTGAGGCCATATTGTAGTTACCCATTTGTATTGTCTCATCCCTTCCCCTTCTCCTTCATCCCCACCCCCTCCCAACTAGTAACACTCAGTGTTTCTTCTGTGTCTCTGAGACTATTTCTGTTTACATTTCTCATTTATTCAGTTTTTTAGATTCCATGTATAAGTGAGATCATATGGTATTTGTCTTTCTCTGACTGACTTATTTCACTTAGCATAATGTTCTCTAGTTACATCCATATTGTTGCAAATGGTACTATTTCTTCTTCTTTATAGCTGAGTAATACTCCATTGTGTAAATGTATCACAGTTTCTTAATCCAGTCATCTACCGATGGGCATTTTGGTTGTTTCCAAGTCTTCGCTATTGTGAATAGCACCACAATGAACATAGGGGTGCATATATTTTTTCAGATTAATGTCTTGGGTTTCTCTGGATAAATACCTAAGAGTGGAATTGCTGGGTCATAAGGTAGTTCCATTTACAGTTTTTTGAGATACCGCCATACTAATTTCCATAGTGGCTGCACCAGTCTGCAGTCCCACCAGTAGTGTACCAGGGTTCCCTTTTCCCCACAACCTCACCAGCATTTGTTGTTCATTGATTTATTGATGATAGCCATTCTGACTGGGGTAAGGTGGTATCTCATTGTGGTTTTTATTTGCATTTCCCTAATGCTAAGTGAGGTTGAACATTTTTTCATATGCCTGTTAGCCATCTGTATGTCCTCTTTGGAGAAATGTCTCTTCATATCCTCTGCCCATTTTTTAATTGGGTTGTTTGTTTTTTTGGTGTTGAGTTGCATGAGCATTTTATATATTTTGGATATTAACCCCTTATCAGATATCTCGTTGACAAATATCTTCTCCCATTCAGTAGGCTTCCTTTTTGTTTTATTGATGGTTTCTTTTGTTGTGAAAAAACTTTTAAGTTTGATGTAGTCCCATATGTTCATTTTTTCTTTTACTTCCCTAGCCCGCGGGGATGTATCAGTAAAAATATTGCTCAGGGTAATGTCTGCAAATTTACACCCTACATTTTCTTCTAGGAGTTTTATGGTCTCAGGTCTTACATTTAAGTCTTTAATGCATTTTGAATTTGTTCTTGTATATGGCGTAAGGAGGTTGGGAAACCAGGTTTAAAACATGGGCCATTGATGACTGTATGACCCATAATTAGAGGTTATTTCTGGTTTAGTATGTCTTTCGGCATTATTATGCTAGTCATGGCTTTTTCCTTTACCACAAATAATGAAGATATGGTTATGTTTCTGACTTTAAAATGATAGCATTGCCACAGATGCCCTTTTGGATGAAAGAACCCATTCTTTCCCCCTCATACTTCCTCTGTCTGTCTCCCTGGAGACTCCTGAGGGCTTTGCCCTGAGGACTGATCCACTGTGGTGGGGAGAGCGGGGAAGGTTGGAAGCTGGGGACTGAGATCGAGGCTTCGCTTCATCTCCCTGCTGGTTCATGGGGAGAGGCAAGGGTGGGGGCACTGGTGTTATTAGACTTTTCTGTGGCCCTCACATTATTTCAAGATTATATGTGCATAGTAACATTTCACTCTCCTTCCGTATCTTCTGTGGTATTGACCACGTGTAGTCCAAAAATGCATCAAAGTATACATGGACGATTGAGAGCCAACTGGACGTTTCTTTGGACACACTGGTTCCCTTCACAGCTACTGTTGGGAGGGGCCTGGTGCTGACTGACACCCTCTGGGTAAGGGGATTCGCCGTGCAGTCAGTCCCAGGAGTAGACAAGCCTTCGGGAGTGTCCCCATTCTTGGGCTGCCCTACCTCCCTTGCAGCTCCTTTTCCTCAGCTGGGGCAGTGATTGAGTCATCAGAGGCAATGCCTCAGCCTCGGCCTCAGGAGAGATGGGCACTGCTTATGTGCTGGCTCCAGCTCTGAAACCCTTGTGGGGCCTGCTGGGAATGGAGAAGCAAATAAATCAGTTGCCTACTCCTGCCATCTGGAGCCGTCCAGAGAAATGTATCATCCCTAAGCACAGAGGAGCATGGAGTCCATCTGTGATTGAGATAGACGGAGGTGCCATCTATGCTGGAGGCGGGCAAAAGGCCCCCAGCAGGAGGGTGGCATCCAGACTTGAACTGCCTGGGAACTGTTATCAGACTTTCCGTGGCCACCATGACATCGACACTAAAGCTAGGAAAAGGTATAAGAAAAGCACACCTGTGACTATTCTGTAATCACGCTCTTAAAAATGAGAGCATTTCTGGAATTGACACCTCATTAATTCATCTCTACTGTGCAAATCAAATTGTCGGCACTGAGGAAGAGCAAGCAGAAGATTATGAAGTGGATGTGATGGGGGTTTGAATTTCCCATGAGAACAGAATTCCTCAGGACGGTTAATTCCATTTCAGGATATGTGCATATGACGTCTGGGAACATGACTTCATTCACCCTTGTCCCACTCGCTGTCTTTCTTACCATGGATCTGGCACAGGGGCAGACACACAAAGAAAAATGTGAAAAATAGGGGTTACGAAGCCTGGTGGTGACCTCAAATGTTTGCCTGCCACCCAAACAACCATGAGTGCCGATAGGTGTCTGAGCTGGTGCTTCAGGGGTTTCTGGACGTAATGCACACAGTAGTTAGAGCAAAGGACTTGGACTTTGGGCTCCTGACTCCCAGAAGTTGTATGTATTTATTGGGTTTGATTTTGCATGTTTCATCTTTTTTATTCCAGTATTTCCCTGAGAGTAGAAACCGTGGCTTCTTCCTCTCCGTGCTCCTTACAGCTCTTAGCTGTGTCTGGCGTGAAGCTGGGGTTCTCTTTGTACTTGCTGATGTGAGCTGAAATGATCACTGGAGGGACCCCAGCTTCTGCTCCTGTAAAGTGAACGCCATTTAACCCTCCCTCCCGACACACCCAGTAGTTGCTGGTGAGCAGCAGGAACCTGCCTGCAGAAGCTGTGATGTGAAAGTCCTGAGGGGTTCCAGCTATTGACAGCCCAGAGGACACAGGGACACACCCTCAGTGCTCATGAAGTACCCTGGTGGCTCGTCAGTTATTCAGCAAGCGTGGGCCTCTCCAGTTGGCCCACCACTTGACTAGGTCCTGGCAAGATGCCTGCTTAGTTATAATGGCAGAAAACATACAAATTTGAAATTATACAGGACAGTTCTATGAGAATTGTCATATGCAGGGCAATAGCGTATGGATGGAACAGTTATGGGCAGAGGCGTAAGGAGTCAGAGTTGGTATCTTGAAGGAGAGAATTGATCGAACCACATAGTCTGGATGCAAGGCTCCTGAGCACATTAGGGTTCCAGAGATGTTTACTCGGTAGCTTACGTGGGAAGCTTGTGAGCGAGCCTCAGTAGCTGGGACAATGCAGAATCACAGATAAGAACATGGGCTCTGGAGTCAGATAGCCTGGGTTTCAATCCTGCTCTAATAAGTCCCGGCTTTGTGATCTTGGGCAGGTTGCTTCACCTCTCATGCTTTAGTTTCTTCACCTCTAACGTAGGAACGATCATAGTCCCTGTCTCATCAGACTGAAGGATATGCAAGTACAGGGCTTGGCACACTGCCTGCCTAGCATGTGGTAAAATCCTCCATTATTGTTGTCTGGGTTTAGTCACATCCTCTTTGAGCGGTACTTGGGCGCCCCCTGCTGCTTGTGCTGTTGAGGACCCCCAGCATGATTCCTTGGCTTTCTACAATAGCAACGGTCTCATGGGTCTGCTGAGTTCCATCTCATTCAGTGATCAAATCTCAAGCTGTCAAGAAGTTGGAAGAGCACCCAGGCGAACCTACTCTATGGTTGAGGAATTGAGGCCCAGCAATGTAACGTAACATGGCTATAACCACACAGCCAGTTAATGATAACACTAAGACCGGAAGCTGGGTCTTCTGGCTCCCAGGCCAGGTGCCATACAGAAAAGCCACACGAGAGGGGAGTCAGGAAGACAGAGAAGGAGAACTGGAAGAGAGACAGGAAGCACACATGCACACTTACTATAGAGGGAGAGTGACGGACAGACAGATACAGACACCCTGAAACAGGGAGTGAGAGACAGAGACAGACAATGGGGGAACAGAAAGGACGGGGGAGAGAGCTTTGAATACAGAGAGCAGAAAACAGACATACATGGAATGGGAAGAGAAAGAA